GAAAGTTACGTAGTTTGAAATTAACGTTTTCGTTTCGAAAATCGTTTAAGAAGGCGCTAGCTATCAATCTCTTTAACTAATTGTTTAATTTCATGAGGTATGCAAGAGATCCTATTAATCGAGTGATATTAATCGTATACATCCAAACAAAAGGCATAATCTTGCAACGTTTTATGAAAATATTTAACGTAATAGCAGATGGAGTTATCTATGTTAAATTACATTTAATTATGCGCATGTAACGATAGACTTTAGGTTTAATATTTTGCACTGACCAACTGTTCTTATAAAATAATATCTACAGAAATGACCGCCGTCACCAGCATTAGTTTCACAGTCAATAAGCGATATCGAAATTCGTTAAGCATGTTTTCGATAATATAATAATATATGATCATTGCTGGGCCAACGATTTATACATTATTTTATTTCAATTGGCGCACGTTTCTGCCACCGCACGCGCCGTCTTGCTCAACACATGACACACACAGCCTCTGCTGCGCTGTGATCAAATGTGTTCTGGTTGTTTACCGTATGAACGAGTCCAGGCCACAGTGAAGGTAGTTAGTTCTCATTTATCGAATATACATCGACCTCAAGTCGTAAATAAACCTAGCTAAATACGATATACGCTGTTTTAAATTTTCGTAACTGTGAGTGATAAACGAGGAGGATTTTTAATTGGACGGCATCGGTGATTTATAGAAGCAGCTTAATCATACAAACACCATGTGTCTGTGTTAGCTATTGAACCCATACATCAAGCAGCTGTAATCGGTTGCAGGTGGCAGGTACACGCGCATCTTTGGCGCCGGCCCGCTACCGGCGTGTGCGCCGCGTGCACAATAAGTAGATCAACGATTGTGGAACTGCTCTAATTCAATAAATATGTTTGTTTTACTTGTGGTGTAACGAAGGGTACAGTGCTATCGCTACGTTGTAACCATTCGACTGGCCTGTTTGTGGAGTGGCTAGTGGCCCTGACTACTCCTGACTGCTAAGTAGTGCTAAGGCAGAGGACGTAGCTTTCCCAATCAGGATAAATAATTGTGTGATGAACACGAGCATTTGTTTTGTATCTGGGTGTGATTTATCTATACAAATATGTAAATTAAAGTGTCTGTTTGTAATGTCAAAAAAATAAGTTTTTTTCATGCTCACACGATTATTTGCACGATACCTATGCCTAAAAACCAGTTTTATTTTTGTCTGTCTGTCTGTTTGTTTTTTCCAAGTAATCTTCTAAACGACTGGACTGATTTAGTTAATATTTTACTACCAGGTAACTTAGGCTATTTTTCCTCTCAGAAAAACCAGAAGTCGCGGGTACCAGCTAGTCTATAATATGTGCGTATTTAAAAATATATAAGTTAGTTTACAAACAGTCTGTTTACCATAGATCATGCTCTGCTTAATTTGGGATCAAACGGCCGTGTGTTATGTGTCGTGTTATTATTTTGAGAAATAGTTGTATATTTCCACGTAGTCGTGCCACGTATCCCAGGGATTGTGTTTCGTGACGCGGCAAATGATAAAGGAATCGTTTAACAGGCGCCATACAATGTATGTACTTGAAGATAAAAGCTTTCAATCCCTACAGCGGTACAACCTGTTATACTTACTTGTCTCTCAATTATTCAGGATAAAATACCGGGCGGTAAGTGTAGTACGTTGAAAGTGTGTGAGTGATGGCACGTTGCGCAATAATCTAATGAACTTGTACACCCGCAGCGACGCTCGTTAACTGTTGAGTTTATAGACTCATTGCCTCGAACCGTACAAATTAAATTTGTTTCCGATAGTTTCTACTCTCTCAATCAGTCGCAATGATTGTGCAAGTACGGATGACTTCCACGAAAACTGAGTCTCATAAAATTTATTGTTTCATTCAAATAATGCCAATAGGCCAGTAGTTATTTATGATCACTTTATTTTAAGTTCGGTCTCCTCTATGTACTGAGCGTGGAATTGTGGAAGATGTTGTACATTTTATAGTGGAATATGTACGAAACGAGGACATTAGATACAGTTTAATGTTACATGATATTTTCAATTTAAAAGAAGTAGGGAGATGTAATTGTATTTCATCATGTCAGCTATTTCCATTAGCCACACTATTTTATAAAAATGTTAACATAGGTATGCGAACACGAACATAATAGATAAGTTATTTAGGCTAGAACCTTGTGTAAAATAGGTTTATGAATTTGCCCAATGGAGAGGCAATTGTCATGTTTGATAAAACTCCTTAAATAAAGAAACAAAAATCACTTTCTTTTTAACGATTGTGAATTATTTAACAATAATAAACAACAACAAAATACAACGTTTTCCCATAATTTCTGTTTCTTATTGATGATTAAGGAATCTTAAAAAAGGACAACAGACATACAAAAGAGACCCGGCGCCAACATTTGAAAACGGTATATTAAGGTGGTTGGTAATATAAATTGGGGTACACTGCAAAAAGACAGGTCAGATGCGCTCGAAATCGACGAGGCTTGACGAAAGGTGATTGTAAAAAAAGCTCGGCATATTACGATCGAAGCAATTGAAAGCCTCGTTCTCCTTACTTACCACAATATAATAAAGAAATAAAATTTACATACGTGTATTTTTAATTTAATATCGTTCATACTTGTGTGATATTTTTGCAAATGCCACAGAAATTATCAAGCTAACATTTCCTGTTGAGATATGGTTGATACCAATACATGCCGTTGTAAACCAACCACCGCGAAATATTGAGTATGTTAAGTTTTCAAAACTTGCAAATGAATATGGCTCTAAATATTTATATGTAAGAGGAACCTAGTTTTCAACTATGGCAGTAGAGAGAAGATCGGCAGATAGACGTGAAACAGCGAAAAAACCTTAAACATTTCATCGTGTCATGGTCAAACATAAAACGAAGCAAATACACACAAGCGGTACACTATTGGGGGCAAAACAAGATGTTTGTTTGGTAACAAGTTAGTGGGCAGATATAAACACAAATATTTATACTCCAAATCCGTCTTATTTCGCCTTGGGACATTTAATATCACTTCACGCCAAAACGCTTTGATGACGAATCAATATTTCCTCTATCACTTTCTACAAAAAATGATTGTACATTTATATTAATTACACCGTCGACAATATAGTTGAACGTAGCCACGTCAGAGGTCAGTGAAAGTAACAAAAAACAGACAATGGCGAGTAGGAATCGTGGCTTGAGAGTTCCGCAAGGACTTCATTACAAGAATATATAAACCTCCTTTCTAAGGAGAGGCTTATGTCCAGCAGTGGACTATTAAAGGCTGTTGATGATAATGATGATGATGATGATAAACCCATTCGTGAGCACACAGCGATCTTGAAAGACAAGCGGCCTAACATGTACTTCTAAGAAACGTATATTCCTAACAAATAAAATAGACTTAAGAAACTTCTAAGACAGCGGGCGAACACCACTAAGCTGGCCAGGCTGTGACCATGGCCAGTACACCCTAGTCGAACTGTCAGGCTATTCAAAGGTATACATATTACGTGGTCACCTTTATCCCCGTATACAAACATAATATTGTATATCATGGAACGCGAAACTTTAAAAGTTAGAACTAAAATAACGGTGGGAATGAACCTTTCAGATTTAAATGTGCTAGAATTCTACTAGTTATTTATGTTTGCTGGTGCGATAAAGTATAATATACCGTGAATATAATTATAACTCGTCACGCACACATTACGTTTGAACCTCGTTTGCAAGTAAGCTGACACTGGCCGATTGATCGTTTGAAATCCTAACTTTGCTTTAGTCAAGTTTGCAAAGTTTCGTGCACAGTCTTACGATAATGGCCAACTACATATTATTATGCAGTTACATCAAAAACTTCCAAGGAAAAGCTGTTTGTGCGGATCGATAAACGCACCGTAGTAAAGGTGAATGTAAATTGAGTAAGAGTAGGTAGCTGTGGCGTGTCTCCTAGTCCAGTGACCCAGGGCGTCGTGTGTCGTGAGCAGCAGTCAGCGCACGCCGGCGATACGTCGGGAATATTAATTAAACGGTTGCGGTTTATTTACAAGCTCATTAACGACAAGTTCGTTGTCACATCTGTCACGTCCCTTGCCATGGTCCGCACACGTGACCTGGGGTCAATGACTTATCCACTACACGCCTTTATGTACATATCTTAGTCACTAACATATGTACGGTACATGCACTTGTATTAATCTGAACTAATATCTCCACGAAATCACTCCGCAACAAGTGTTCTTGTATTGTGTTATTCCCCCATACTGTCACACAGGAGGGACGCCAGAGAGGAGATATGAGTGATTAAATCATCATTCATTAACATTTAGTAGTAGTAGTGATATAACTGAGAGAAACATTAATGTAGGCCTCAGGATTTGAAGGAAAATTTTAGCCAACAGCTTTAATAATAATCCCAAGCCCCAAAAACTAATTTGAAGTATGTCACGAGTTTCATGGTTAAACAACACAAATGTACTAATTCATGAGCGCAATACTACGTAAGTTACAAGTAAACAGACCAGAGTTCAAGCGGTTAATGGCCGCATGGAATATCGTTTTCAGTACTAGTCTTAATGGATTGCAAGCCAAGACCCTTGAGTTCTAGAGCCGATGCTCAACCTGGCAAAACAGAATAAATTTAATTTGCTCGTTTTCTTCTTTAGAACAAGTAGTTCAAGCAGCTCCAATATGAGCGGTAATTACTTTCTCCCTTTTCACTTACTTGAATTAAATTTTTAAACTGCCATCCTATAAATTCTCATTCCAATAATTATAAACTAAGAGATAGTTTAAGGAATCATAAACTATCTCACAGTGCTGCCAATGTGATCTGCGGCAAATTTTCTTAGTATTTTTCTTGCCCGCACAGAGTATAAACCTTATTTTACTTATTCGGTATGATAGTAACGAATATTGGTTATAATTATAAACGATAAGTGGTCAGGATTAATTAAAGTAAAAACGTTACAGGCGACTTGTAATGAGCGTGACGAAACGAATGGCGAAAAATCCAGCGATAAACAACGACCGCGGGCTGTTGCTCAACACACGTGTGCAAATGTTGATTGCAGAGGCGGCGCGGCCCACGGTCACCTTACAAAACACCGAGGATTGCACAAAGTTACCTCACACCGGCGAGGGCACCGGCCATACGGCGCTGAGCTATAGAGGCCAGCTCAGCTTGTACTCCACAACACTATCGATATAAAAACAGAAAATGCGGCTTTGTACCGCAAAAGAAGAGATAATTCGTTCGTGACTTACAAAACCGATGCGCAGAGCAGCTGTTGGAAAATTCTCGACCATCATCAACTTACCTGGAAAGAAATAAACTATCTTCAATACTGTATATTAAATAATAATAACACAAGCGTTTTCAAAACAGGAAACAGTTGCAAACGACGCATGTGTACACTCGTCCAAATGTAAATTTATTTCGACATAGTTAAAAATAAATGAACAGGTATATTGATAGTGGTCTGCTTTATAAACATAGTTAGTTCAAGGAGCTGGCTCGCTCGTCGATGTCCATGTTTAGACTGGCTTCCTTGGGTATAAATAGTGAGCAATGGAATATTTTGCGGATGAATTAGAGCGTAAAGTGAATACGAGACGAGCCACCAGCCGAGGGCGTTCTCACGTGCTTCTACACACGTCACTTCGCTGGAACTGCTATGATTGAGTGCTAAGTCATGTGAACGTAGCAGAATCATAAAATAACTATTAAACTATATAAATATATGTATATGCACTATACATGCGTGTTATAAATAACAGAAATACAATTAAATTGCTATAAATCTGTGTATGGTTACACATAAAATTAAACTGATCTTTAATGGCGAACACAGTCGTTTGAACCACTGGATTGGTAGTCGTTAACCGTGGTTACAAATATAAACAATATAAATAACTGCCGAAGCTATTGTCGTATTCATCATCATCATCATAATTGTCACCATCGCCGCATTTAATACCCTCATGTACACGAGCCTACGAGACTTCTACAGACAGCGATCAACGTTGCTATTCTTGAGCAGTAAAACAGACCCGAGCAACTCCAGATGGGTAATGGAGGAAACCTGGAAACCCCAAAAGGTAAGTTTAACAGCAATTTCCTGTTTTGTGTTTGTACTTTTGCAATAGAATTGCATACATATTCATTTGTGTAATACAGCTTTCCTTTTTAATCATGTTAAAATATTTTTTGTGACAATACCAAAGTACCAAGTAACAAGTGTGTAGAAGAGTGTTTATAAATTTTATCCAGTTAATCACATGGTTTTTTTCTGAATCTTGATGTAATATTATTGACATGTGATATATTACGGGAGCGACTGACACAACCAGATAAGAGCCAGTTGCGAAGTGGTCTGTGCACTTTTACCATCGATGTAGCTGTAGTCCCGGTGTGTGGCCGGCCCTTGACAGAGTGTCATCACCTGGTACGTTGCTGACATATATACATTTTATTCTTAGGTCCAGTTTATAAAAAAATATAATTAAAAAACTAAAAAATACGATGGTTTTCTATAAAAAACGTGTATTTTAGTTTTTTTAAACTATTTTTTTTTGTTAATTTGTGTATTGTCATCGGTCCTAGATATATCCACAAAGTTTGAACGAATTCTGACCGTTTAAAGTCAGTCAAAATCTCGAACCAAGGAGTCGGTTACAAACAAACATGCAAACATAAAAGTGAAGCTAATATCTTTATATTGTGTCTTCAAGTTTAATTTAAAAAACGTACACATTCATTTTATAATTGGCACGATTTTACCAAATATCCCCCATCACTGTCACACATTCTTCAAAGTGATAAATAATGTTTATTAGATAAGGTGTGACATTGAAACATCTCAAGTTTTATGTACTATATAGTTAGTTAAAACTTCATTACCCGTGCTGGTTGTACGTTGCTGTGCAAAGTCATAAAAAAGAGGTGGGCCGTGTGCTCGTTCGCCAACCTAGATAGGCGCTCAACATACATACAACATTTGATTGCAATTATTCATTTCCACTATACAACAAAAAAATACATAGATTAATTAAATTTTCAGTTCAGCTTCTAGATATTTACTCACTGTTACAGCTAATACATAATATAACGGTGCACACGCGGAAACTCCGATTCAGGAGAATGACAGTTGAAAGCAGAAACGCGATGAGGGTTTATTTGCAAAGATTTCACATTCAGAAAACATTGCTCGTTAGCCAAGTTTATAAATAAACTATATTCAAGCTATTGGTGAGAAGTGAATACAAATTGAACCGCGAATGCAGATTTTTGCTACATATAGAACTTGAATGCAGATGTTTAAAAGTACTCTGAATATCATGCATATAGTCATTGAGTTTATTTCGTTCTTGTTTGCCTTGAGCATAACATACACGGTCCAAAAGCTAGCTTTGCAGAATAAAGCACTAATGTCACCGTGTTTTAATTATTGTTTCTCCTAACTAGACAGCGAAATTATTGCTAATTTTTAATCATATTCATTTCATAAAATGATTGGTGTTGGTCACTGCGATTTCACCTGTGATAAAATCACTACTTTGATTAAATTTGGTCATAGACAAAGATTAATGCCATCAATTTTTTTAGACCTTTTTAGAATTTTCACTCAATACTATTTAAGCCATCCTGTTTGGTAATAAATATTAATTTAAACAGTTTTTTCTTGTCCAGTGAAAGGTACTTGTGACCGATTAAGAGTTTGCCATTATCATCCATATTAATCCATACTAAAAATATAAACGAGAAAGAGTGTCTGTCTGTCTGTTACTCTTCACGCTTAAACCGCTGAACCAATTTAGATAAAATTTGGCATACAGATAGTTTGAGTCCTGGGAAAGGACATAGGATAGGTTTCATCCCAGAAATCATCCAGGTATGGGGAATCAATAACCACTGAACCGATTCCGATGAAATTTGGTAAGGAGGTAGACTTCCCTTCGCGGCACCGTGCGACTAACGTGTGACTTCGTATGCTAACAATTTTAATATTGTTTTCTGTGCTTTTATGTGACTAGTTTCCGGTTTGCGGGCGGCTAAAGGTTGTGTATAGTGTTTCTAAAGAATTTCAGTAAGTTTTATTGTTTTCTAAACATAAATATAGTGCCGAATTCTTTTATTACGACTATTGGTGAGTAAATTTATTATCTTACTAAAAGTGGGTAGGCGGTATCCTTTGTTTAAATTGATTTTTCTCTGCGTATTGTTTATTTTTGAGCTTGTTTTTTTTTTTTTTTTCTTTTTTAAATTGTTGATTGGTGTGTCTTTGTTTGGCTATGTCGGTCGTTAGCGAGTTGCCGGATCCCGGCGGTACAAGTGAATTTCTAACACCAACCGGGAAAAGGACATTTGGCGAAGTGTCACCTGCGGATTTCACGCCGAAAGACGGAAGCCGTAGACGCATTATTAATTCGGACTTAAGTGGAAATGTTTCGTCTCCTACCGGTCGTGATAACTGTGGGGAGTACAATTACTGTGACTTAGTGTCACAGGCCACCGATTACTTATCAAAAATTAATGAATTAGTTAATGATCAGGGATCTAGGATGAATGTAGGGAATAAAACGGCGATTATGGATATTACTCAACGAATTACCGGTATCGTATCAATGTTAGCAATAAAATCCTTTAGCAACGAAGCGAAGTTAGCGAATTTTGAGCGACAAATGGAGGGTATCGCAACTCAACAAACGAGTTTAACGTACGCGGACAAACTTAAGCTTCGCTTACCACCTAAATCTGCCCCGTGCCCGGTACCTACTGAAGCGCGCGTTCCTAGGCCTTGTGTTATTGCCTATCCCACTACGGAACGCTTAGCGGACTATGCGACCTCGTCAGCAACGAAACAAGCTCTTATGAAGGCTATTAAACCGAGCGATGAGGGTTTCCAAATTGTAGGCGTTAAAAAAACCTCTAAGGCAGGCGTCGTGTTACGTGTAGCTAACGAACGGCAGCTTAAGAAACTGGAATCTGTAGACGCCATTAAATCAGCAGGTTTACGATTAGAAAAACCGAAAGGCCGAAAGCCCCGTATAATTGTAAAAGACGTACCCGGTTCTATGGAAGATCGTGCCTTCCTAACAGCTTTATACCGTCAGAATATCAAGGACGAATTAAAATTAAGTGAGAACGATTTTATTAAGTCAACCAAAATTGTTAGGCATCGTAAACTAGAAAATGGGCGTCAATGGATAGGCTTAGAATTGGAGGCAGCAGTTCGGAAACATCTAGCCAACACAAAAGATAAACTTTATATAGACTGGGCCACTTGTCGATTCATAGACGATATAGAAGTAGTTCGTTGCTTAAATTGTCAGCAATTCGGTCATGTACAAAAGTTTTGCACCATTAAAACCCCTACTTGTGCTAATTGCGCCGCCGCACACGAAACGCGAGCTTGTCCAGATAAAGACACACCAAATTTTAAGCCCACGTGTGCACAGTGCAAGCGGTTCAAAAAACCATCTGACCATCGATGCGGCTCACACGACTGTGCCACATACAAATTAAAACTGGAGCAGCTAATATTAAATACCAATTACTGATTAGTTCAGCTTAAAAAAGAAAAAAAAAAAAAAAAAAAAAAAAAGTTTATAGAGTAACTTACTAAGTAATGGATAATATTTCGATAGGCCAGTTAAATCTTCATAACGATAAAATAGCTACATCAGAATTAGACCGTTTAATTTTAGAACAAAAGTTAGACATTGTCCTTATACAAGAACAATATCAGAGCGCTCGCTTGCGTCGTAATGTAGTACAGCTTGACTGCCGTTCGCAGGCTGGGATATATGTTGCAAGTTCTAATTTTACGGTAACATCTTTGCGTAATCTTATGACGTCACACTGCGCCGTTGCTGAGATCTCATCCTCTACCTGTAAGGTTTACGTAGTGAGCTGCTATTTTCAATATTCACATCCTATTGATCCTCACTTACATCACTTACGTTACGTCTTGCAGTACCTCGTGGGACATAAAATTATCATTGGCGCTGATGTCAATGCGTCATCTTCATTATGGTATGGCAAGTTGCGTTCAACCGACACGGTTCGACGTTGTGCGGTTGAAGATTTCATTGCGGAAATGAATCTTACTATTCACAATACCCCCGATGCACCACCAACTTTTTGCAACCCAATGGGTGAGTCTTCTATTGACGTGACGCTTACGCGCGGCGACGTCTCGATATCCG